AACTGGCCCGAGCCACCTGGCTGCAGGGCTTGGTCTTCAGTGGCAAGAAGCGCTGGGCTGCAGCAGAGACCACCAGCTGAACTCAGATTTTGTTTTGGGGGGATCTCAGTGGTGGCGGTGACATGTGATTCTGGGCAGTGGCATCTCTGAGTCACCGTGTTCAGTAAGGGCAGACCATCAACTCCCTGCAGCGTGGGGTGGTGGCTGGCTCCCGGGGCCGGGAGGCGGGGCCCACCTTTCAGCTCACGGTGGGCTTCTGGGGATGGGGCCCTGTGGTCACCTGAGGAGCTCCCACACTGTGTCTGTGACCTCCACCAGGTGAACACTCATTGTGGTTGGCCAAGGTCCTGGGCAGGGAGGTGTGTGCAGAGTGGGCTCCTGAGGACAGGCCCTCTGGGGTCTCCTGGCAGGCCCAGTGGCCTTGGGAGCTGGTGGTGCCCACCCCCCGCCCCAGTGCAGACCTGCTGGCGGTGGGGGCAGGCAGGAGTTGGTTTTGGTTTTGATTTGGTCTTTTGCAGGACTGGAGACGGAGGTGCTTTACCATGAGCCACATGAGACACTGTTTCAGTCAGCTTTTTCACAGCCATGACCAGAAGAGCTGAGGAGAACAATTAGAGGAAGAAACACTTATTTTGGCTCATGGTTTCAGAGGTTTGGTGCACAGGAGGCCAGCTCCATCCCTCTGGCCCGAGATGAGGCAGAATATTGCTAAGGAGGGCATGGAAGAGGAAAGCAGCTCAGGAGGTGGCAAACAGGCAGAGAGCTCTGCTCCCCGAGGACCACCCAGAGACCCCCAGGCAGGCCCCAGGGACCAGCCCCCCAGCCACACCCGCCTGCCCTGAATCTCCACCCAGTTCACCCTCACCTGAGTTCCTGATGAGGTCCAGGCCTCTTAGTCTTCTCCTTGCTTTGTCTCACTGAGCTGCTTGGGGACATCCAGCGTCTGAACCAGGACAGTTGCCCAGGCGTCCTCAGATCCCTGTGCACAGTCGTGAGCCCCTATCACAGCACAAATGGGCGAACGCAGGCAGCACAGAGTGTTGGGATGGGGGGCCTCTGAGGCCGCTGCGCAGTGTACTGCTGAGTGTGTGTGCGTGTGGGTGCACAGATAGGTGAGGCCTCCCTGAGCTGGGTCCTGGGGTGCATGCACTTGCCCACGATTAAAACCTTGAAACAACTTGGATACATTGTAATTCCGCCTCATTCTAACATAAAACTGTGGACGCCTTGGAAGTCTTTGAAGTCAACTATGGTCCTTATTTGGACCTGATTCTGAAATACTGTAGAAGTGCCCTCTTTGGAAAATGATGACTAGATGAAGAATTAACTCTCTGGAATGGAACCCTGGTGTTCGGTTTGGTTTAATGGTCTTGCATGTTTTCGTTTATGCCAAGTACTCTTTTTTGGGGGGTTGGGGGTTGAACCCAGGGGTGTACCCTAGCTCTGTTTATTTTTATTTGAGACAGGATCTCACTGAGTTTCTGAGGCTGGCCTGGAACTTGGATCCTCCAGTGTCAGCCTCCTGAGCAGCTAGGAGCAAGATGTGGCTGCCATGGCAGCTTATGGCAGTGACTCTTTTACTATGTGGCTTTTTAATGTTTATGACAATGAAGCCGCACGTCTTGGTGCATTTGTGCTGCCACAACACAAGTCACAGGCTGGATTGTTTATAAAGGAAAGAATTTGGGGCTGGGGATATAGCTCAGTTGGTAGAGTGCCTGCCTCTACCATTCTGGAGATGGAAGTCCACGGGGGAAGGACTGAGTCTGAAGAGGACTGCGTTCTTTTTATTTATTTACTTATTTTTTGAGACAGCCTCACCTGTGGCCCAGGCTGGTGTAGAACTTGTGGACTTGAGGGGTCCTGCGTGCTGGGACTGCAGGTGCAGCTGTGGCCAGGCCTATTTGCCTTGTCAGCCCAAGGTGGAAGCCAGCGGGGAAGCCCTGCGTTTGCGACCAGCCCGCTCTCACGGCAGCAGACACTCCCAAGACAGCTTGTGTTTGTCCTTTGGCTTTGCAGTGCTGGGATGGAACACAGGGCCAGCACCTGCTAGCCAGGTGTGCCACGTGAGGGAGAGGCCCAGACCTCTCACGGCCCTGTGCCCGGTGCCGTGTTGTTGCTGGGACTATGATTCCAACACTGCACTTTGGGCCACATTCCAGCCTTAGCACTATATGATTTGGGAATTTTCTAAGAGATGTAAGCTGTAAGTCACAAAGAAATTACAGGGGATATTAGTTGTTTCCAACTAGGAATTAATTTATCAGACACAGTGGCACTCTCCTGTGACCCTAGCTGCTCCAAGAAGCTGAGGCCGAAGGATGGCAAGTTCTAGGCCCCTGGGCAACTCACCAGGACCTTGCCTCAGATAAAGAATAAGAAGGGCTGGAGATGTGGCTCACTGGTAGAGTGTTTCTGAGGCTCTGGGTTCAATTCCAGTACTGAGAAGAAGAAAAAAAAAAGGACACTGTTGTAATCATCACTGGCTGGGGCGTGGCTCGGTGGTGCAGCAGCTCCTAGCTGGCGAGACACGGGCAGTGACATGCTGCTGACTGCACACAGCAGGTACATGGTGGCCCCAGTGCCCACTCCTAGTCTCCTGGACCTGTGACGGTGACCCTATTTGGAAAATGGGTCTTTGCAGGTATGGTTAAATTAAGTATCTCAAATGAGGTCGTCCTGGATTAGAGTGGCTCTGAATTCAGTGACACATGTCTTTATAAGAGGCAGAAGAGGAGACCTAGGCTCAGAGGAGGAGCCACCTGATGATGGAGCCATGTGGCCATCAGCCAAGGGGTACTGGGGCCCAGGAGCCCGAGGGGGCACGAGGGGCCCCCTAGAGTTCACACCGTGGTGTCCCAGGTCTGACCTCCAAAACTGAGAGGCTGAATTTACTTACTGTTTTGGGCCACCCAGAGGCTCTTTGTTACAGCTGTGAGCCTGAGATAACCTGTCAAGAAAAGACCAGAAAGCGTTGCGGCGTTAGCTTCAGAAGCCACAGGTACGGAGTGGCGTTGTGTGCCAGGCCTCTGCTCTGGGCAAGCCCTGCTTAAGCCACAGCCAGGAAGTTCCAGGCAGTTTTTATGAGAGAAGAAATAGTGCTTCTGTACAGAGAAAGTGTCGATTTAGCACGCAGGTCTGAATTACTAAATAGAAGGCTAAATATATGGTAAATCAAAATTCTAATTTTCATGATTGTAAAACCAGAATAGGAACCATGGCTGTGTTCCCCAAAAAAGTTGTTTTAAGTAAAACAGTGTAGAAATTCATGTCCTGTTCCCCTCCCACCTAGAGGGTGTGCGTCACCCACCAGGTACGGCAGTGGGGACACAGGGCTCTGAGGAAGAGCAGTCCTTCCTGGTGGAGGTGTGGCTGGAAAAGGGGAATATTTTTGTGCCTAGTTCACTGGACCACATCAAGGACAGAGCCCAGTGGTCAGGGAGGACAAAGCAGGGTGTGGGCAGTGGCTGGACAGAGGCCTGTGTCCTGTGGGTCGCCTTGCTGAGCGCCCGCTCTCTTTGTACCGCTGGTGTCAGCCTGTTGGATAGACTCGCCCTAGCTGAGGAAGTGCGCATCATCAGCAGACGCTGGGCACCAACTTCCCCCGGGAACCTGCTTTCGGGAGGGTCTTCCTGGAGTGTGCCCCTCTGGAGGAGCCCCACTGCTGCGATCCTGCCTGCACAGGCACCAGGTGGACAGGAACAGTTGCAGGGCTGCGGGTAGATGCTGCCCAGGACCCGTCTTCAGAAGGTGGTGGGTGGTACAGTCATCTCCAGGAACCGCAGTAAGCACTGTTCTCGTGGGTGAAAGAGGGAAACACCTTGAACGCCCAGCAGCCGGGTCTCTGGCTGGTCTGGTATGTGCAGACCTTTGGCAGATGCAAGTCCGAGGCTGTGCGTGGAGGTCACAGTGTGTCGAGTGGGTGCTTTGTGTGCGGAATGCCTTCTGGTCCAGTCCTGACTATATATGGGTACAACCGGAAGATGGTGCACTGTTGGCTGTGGTCATCTCAGTGCCTGTCTTACCTTAGAGGCCATGCTGAGCGTGGTCCCCCTCCAGTCCCCAGCCACCATTGCCACACCCACCAACACTGAAAGCTCCTGATGTAGGGACACGGTGTACATCTAAGAGAGAGGCTCAGAAGCAGAAGTCTTGTGGACTCCTACTCTCCAGGGGACCTGATGTTGCTTTAGGGGCACAGACAGGGACCGTGGCTCTGGGGAGTGGCTCAGCTATGAGCTATGGTGTCCACACAGCCCACCTTGGAGGTGCCAGGTGTCAGCTCAGGGCTTTCTAGGCCTAGCAGGGATGAACTCTCCCCTCAGTTCTTGGAGAATCATGTGTCCCTGGGACAGGGGCTACTGTCTGTGGGGCACAGGACTCTGGCTCACGGTGGATCTTGCAAGGATCTTCCTGATTGGACCTGTGTGAGTCCAGGGCCAGTGCTCTTGGGGGCTGCTCTGAGCTGGCCAGTTTCTGAATCCCATGCTGAGGCTGGGGTCTGAGCAGCAGAACCACACTGGAGCCTCTGAGGGTCCCTCAGCAGAGTCAAGGCCCAGGTTCTCTGGGACAGTGCAGTGTCCTGGATAGATTAGACCCCTGGTTGTTTTCCAGCAGAGGGGTGTCTCCTTTTCCCTCTGTGTTTTTTGGCCCATGCCACACTATGGTGCTGGCTTCTTATCTGCCTCCTGGGAGGTCCTGATGTCCAGCAGCATCTGAGGGCATGGGGGAACATCTGAGGACATGAGGAATGTATGAACAGAGACAAGATGGCATGTGCTGGGTTGGTGGTCCACAGGGCTTGCTGCTGCCCATGCCTGGGCCCTTGGTCAGCCCTCATCAGGGAAAGGTGGCTTGAGTGGGCCTCCATTTTGCAGAATGCTCCTGAGAGGTGGGCACCAGCCTCCCTGGGCTTGGGTTGTGGGCCCCTTTTGGGTGGACGGCACGTGGAGAGGAGGCAGCCGGGTGACCCTTGCACTGACGCCTCTGCTCTCTTCCAGTGAATGAGTTCACGGTGATCAGGAAGAAGTTCAAGTGCCCCTACTGCAGCTTCTCGGCCATGCACCAGTGCATCCTCAAGAGGCACATGCGTTCCCACACCGGGGAGCGGCCCTACCCCTGTGAGATCTGCGGGAAGAAGTTCACGCGCCGTGAGCACATGAAGCGGCACACGCTGGTGAGTGCAGGGCCTGGAGCCGCGGTCTGTGCTGAGCTGAGATGTCCTGAAAGGCGGGCAGTGGGGGTGGCTATGGGATGCCTGGACACTCTGCAGCGGGGAAGCCAAGCAGGCCACCATGGACAGCATTCGCCAAGGGGTCACTGCTGCCGGCTCCGGGCTGCCTCACTCGCCCTGTAGGGTGGGGCCAGGCTCTGCACCCAGCTGGTGGCTGTCAGGGAGCAGATGCTGGAGAGTGGACCAGCTCAGCTAAGAGCGACAGAGAGGAGGCTGTCTGGAGATAGAGAGGAGATCAGCCTAGCGAGACGGACCCCCAAGGCCCCGAGCCCTGACAGGGGACAGCCCCAGGTGTGATGCCATGGGATGCTGCCCTGGGATGGGGATGGTTTGCAGGCTGGGTCACCTGGAACTCACCAGCTTCATGGGCAGCCCTGCCAGGCGGCAAGGGCCGAGGCTGGTTCAGGCTCTCCGTTGGCCTCTGCTGCTCGAGCCTGGTGGGGTACTCTTATTTGAGGTGAGGACAGCTGGGAGCTCCCCTGAGGTTGGGGTCCCTGAATGGCTACAGAGCCCACAGAGGGATATTCTCTCGGGTCCCCCATGTGTCCCTCTGTGAGGTGGGGATGCCTGGATCAGGAAGAGCCCTTGACCATGAAGGGAGGCCAGAGGCAGACCCATGTCCACGAGAAGCCATGAGGTCTTAGCAAGCTGAGTTTAGAATTTTTTCTCTAAGTGAACGATTGCTTCTGCTTCATCTAATTAATAAGCCACAGAGATCACTTTGCAGACTGACACGAAATCTAAAAGGCACATATGTACCTATTTAGAGGAACCACATCTTGTTTCACACTAGCAAATGCTGGTGAGTCTCAATGAGGGTCATTGCATTTGTCTAGAGAACCCACGGGAGGGCCTTGAAAAATGTACTTAAAACATTTGGGGCCAGCTGCAGTGGCCATGCCTGTAACCCCAACTCTTCATGAGGCTGAGGCAGGAGGACCTCTAGTTGTAGGCCAGCCTGGGCAATTTAGCAAGACTCTGTCTAAAAATAAAAAATAAAAAGGCTGAGGATATAGCCCAGTGGTAGAGCGCTTATCTAGCATGCATGAGGCCCTGAATTCAATCCCTAGTGTTAAAAAAGTAGAATATACAAAACAAAAACAAAAACAATGAAGGTGGCCCACCTCTTCCTGAGGAGAGGGTTATTTTCTCTGGGTGCCCACTCTGAGAAACAGGGCCCTGCGTTAGGAGATGGTCTGCGGCCTCCTTGTGCACAGTAGCCCTCCTGGCACCTCTGCAGGGCAGACCCAGCAGCAAGGAGTGGGAACCCTCTGTACCTGCGAGGGCTTCAGGTCTGGATGGGGTGGGCCGGCCCTGCTCCACAGCAGCACCACCAAGGGGCCCAGCACCCTCCCCGAGCAGGAGTGTGAGCATCCACGAGTGCCTGGCCATCTGCCTTGGGGACCCCGACCCCCCGCCGGGCCTGTTCCTGCCCTGTCATCCCCATTTGCACAGTTCCTATGGTGACTTGGTCTGGCCGTTTTGTTCCCCTGTGTGGGGGGCAGAGGGAGGCCCTGAATCTAATACAGAGCAAACAAACCTACAGAATGCTGGACCCAACCCAGAGGTCTAGACCCTGCTGGTTGGGCTTTTGAGGAGGCCAGGGGGCTAGCACCCAGCTCCAAGGGCCACCACCAGCGGTTCCTGAAGGTCTCAGGTCCCATGTGATGACCTGCCCATGCCACACTCTGGACATGCAGGTTGTCACGGCAGCCTGGCAGCTGTCACTGGAGCCTTCCCCACTTGGGGTTTGGTGGAAGTAACAACCCTGCCTTCAAGGAGGTTGGGTTCAAGAGCAGTGCTCTGTGGGACCAAGGGCCTGGGAAGCTGAGGCCAGTGAGGGGCAGCTCACGAGGCATAGCTGCAGGACCGCAGTGATCGCTTGTCAGATCATTGCAAGCAGAAGAAATATGAGCTTAGCCAGGCCCGGTGGCACTCGCCTGTAATCTCAGTGGCTCTGGAGGCTGAGGCAGGAGGATCAAGAGTTTAAAGCCAGCCTCGGCAAAAGCGAGGAGCTAAGCAATTCAGTGAGACCCTGTCTCTAAATAAAATACAAAATAGGGCTGGGGGTGTGGCTCAGTGGTTGAGTGCTCCTGAGTTCAATTCCTGTTAGCACCTCCCTCCAAAAAAAAAGAAAATGTTAGCCAACTTTTTTTTGCTGTGACCAAAATACCTGACAAGAACAACTTAGTGGAGGAAAAAACAACAACTTAGAAGAGGAAAAGTTTATTGTGACTCAGGGTTTCAGAGGATTCAGTCCATGGTGGGCTGACTCCATTGCTCTGGGCCCAGGATGAGGCAGAAACACCATGGCAGAGGGCATTGTAGAGTAAAGCTGCTCAGTTCACGGCAGCCAGGAAGCAGAGAAAGACAGCGGGTAAGCCTCCCAGGGCATGCCCCAGAGACCCTCCTCCAGCCAGGCCCACCTCAGGCAGTGCGTTCACCATCCAGGACCCAGCCACTGAGGAGTCCGGATCCTCAGGGTCCACCTCTGACTACTGCTGCGCAGGGGACCGTGCCTTCAACACATGAGCCTGGGACGCTCTCAGCCACCCCAGCAGGACCCCTCTCCCCCACAGCCTGGCTGCAGTCTTTGTGTGACAGGACTTTCCTGCAGGCTGTGGAGAGCTGGCTTCAGACACCCTCTGGACAGCTCCCTCCCTGTGTGCAGCCAGCTCTCACACAGCTCCAGCTCTTGCCCATGGAGGGTGGGCGTCTGCAGGACACAGAGGGGCCGAGAGAGTCTGGAGGTCTGGGGAGGCTGCTGGCACTTGAGGGCAGAAGCCTGGCTAGCACCAGGTCCAACCAGAGGGTGGACCAAGACTCGCAGGTAGCCTGCCACATGTAGGCCCACTGGCCTTTGTTCTTGAAAAGTAGGGTCAGGGCTTGGTTGTGACCAATCCCTCCAAGCCCTCAAGTTAGCCAGGGGTGCTGTGGTTCTCTACAGACTCCAGTGCCCATGCTGAGGTCTCCTGCCCCCTTCTGCAGAAGGCATTCCATCTGTGTGTCCTCAGGTCCTAGGGTCTTTGTGTCCTGCTCTCTTGAGGACCCTCTCCCAAATGCTGTTGCTCCCTGTCAGGCATAGCCCTGGTCAGGGACACTGATCCTGTCCCTTCCTGGCCAATGTGCCTCTTCTGCTGACCTCAGTTGCTAATCTCTGTCCTAGGCTCTCAGTTGACCTCAGGCTCCAGCTGGGGGAGGGAGCTGTGCCTTTTCACCTACAAGGAAATGGTCAGGAGAAGCTGGGGTGTGGACTTGCCCCCAGTCTGTTCCCAGTCCACCACCATCTCCTGGGACTCCATCCCAATTCCCCTTCCCTCTGTCCTTCACTCTTTTTTTTTTTTTCTTTTTGATTTCCTTGTAGTTGTAGATGGACAGAATGCTTTTGTTTGTTTATTTTTATGTGGTGCTGAGGATCGAACCCAGTGCCTCACGCATGCTAGGCAAGTGCTCTACCACTGAGCCATAGTCCTAGCCCTTGTCCTTCAGTCTTGACCCACGGCTCTCCTGCTGCCCAGCCCATCAAGCCATGGGCCTGGGCTGGACTCCCAGAAGCCAGATTCAACCTAGAGCTTTTGGTCGCCGCTGTGTGGGGCTCCCCACCCTTGACCAGCCTGAGCTGGCATCGTCTTTTCCAGGAGGGGCACAGGAATGCTCCACACGCTGTCTGATGAGAACTCAGCGTGTCCTTGCAGGGACTCTGGAGGAGGGAGCAGTGTGACCTTAGAGAGAAGTATGTAGCAGGGCCTGTGTGTGTGTGTGTGTGTGTGTGTGTGTGTGTGTGACCTGGCCCTGCTGGGGCTGCGGGAGGACACTGCTGCCCCTGGTGTCAGCACCCCTAGGGACAGGGCTTTTGGGTACTGTCCCCAGTTCTGACCATGTAGACTCTGGGCAGCACCCTCAAGCCTGGGCTTGAGGGTCCCAGCAGATCTGTCACCCCCAAGTCATGCCATGGCTATCCTTGCTCATATGCCTCTTTAGGGCCTGGCAGAGACTGCCCCTGGGGGACCTCACCCCTCCACTGACTGCCCTGTCCTCCCAGGTCCACAGCAAGGACAAGAAGTACGTGTGCAAGGTGTGCAGCCGCGTGTTCATGTCTGCAGCCAGCGTGGGCATCAGGCACGGCTCCCGGCGCCACGGTGTGTGTGCCGACTGTGCTGGCCGGGGCGCAGCCGTGCAGTTGGACCATGGGGGCGGCGAAGGCTCCCCCGAGGCCCTGTTCACTGGTGATGGGCCCTACTTGGAAGACCCTGAGGACCCGAGAGGGGAGGGTGAGGAGGAGCTGGGAGAGGATGAGGACGACGACGTGGCAAAGTGGAAGGACGATGTAGGGCTGGCGCCCGAGGACACGCTGTTGGGGGACGACAAGGAGGACGAGGACTCACCACAGGGCCCCCGCAGCCCCACTGCAGGGCCTGAAAAGGACTTCGCCTGGATCTCCTAGGCCCTGCCCCGGGGGGCAGGGTCTGATGGTGGGGTGGTGGCTGCGTCGCTCCATCCACCTGTGTGTGTGTCTTAGTGGGTCTCAACACCCGACGGCAGGGCTGTGCCCTTCTCAGCCCCTCCTCTGGTCCTCCCTGCATCCAGTCCCACTCCCACAGACACCGGCCATGGCCTTGCGGTCAAGGGAGAGCGCCTGCTCCTGCCTGTCCTGGGATGCCTGGAGTCCCCAGCAGGTGCCTGCAGGTGTGTGCCGGGTCTGGTCTGGGGCTTGCCTCCAGAGCATCAAAGGAGCCCTGGGTGGCTGGCCAGACCCTGGATGCATGATGGCCAGGCTGGCCAGGGGCATGAGTGCATCCTCGAGGCCACAGGTCTGAGTCCATGTTGAGAGTTTTGCATACACCGAGCTGCATCCGTCCGCAGCACTGCTCAAGCCCTGCAGCCAGGTGGCTGCCTGTGACCCCGCAGTGGCCCTTTGCCCTCTTGGCTCCTGCCACACAGTGGCAGCCTGTAGAACCCAGGTCTGGTGCACAGAAAGCCCTGCGATCCTCTTACCTCTGGGCTTTGGTGCTTAACAAAGCAGCTGCAGATCCTCGGGATCCAGGGCTCCAGGTGCTCTCTCTGGTGATCCCGGAGGCTGGGGCCTGAGGAGGCCGCAGCTCCTCCCATGCAGGACTCCTCAGTCAGGGAGGAGACCCCTGGCCAGGCTCCCCATCTCAGGCCCAAAACAGTTCTGCCATGAGGGCCTCAGCTCTGGGTGCACTTCCTTAGAGAGCCTGGGCCCCTTGTCCACCCTGGGCTTGCTCCAGGGCTCCTGCTGACCCCTCTTGGGACGGGCTGGAGCCGGACTCCTGCCATCGTTGCTGCTAACACTGGAGGTGGGTGTCCTTGCTGCAGTGTGCTGCTTCACCTCCCTGCCTGGGTAACCAAATGTTAAAGTAGTTGGAGACATCGTGAGGTAGCTGCAGAAAATTCTTATTTTTTGCATTGTTTTTCGCACTTGGCAAAACTGCATAGGGTTGTTTTTCCTTTGGCTTGTGAAGTCCTCCTGCTGTGTTTTGAAGGAGCTTCCCATGTGTTCTCCTTTTTTCCTGAGTGAAAAGCAAAGGCCCCCATGGTGGGCATCTCTGTGCATCACCCAGCGTTGAGGTCCTGGAGGCAGGCTGCCAGACCCACTCTAGAACAGACGTGGCAGTCTGGGCCCCTCCTCCGGGCTGCTCTGACACCACAACTAAGACATTCCACCCTCTCCTCCTCCTGTGCACCCTCTCAGGTGAGGTGCAGGCAGGTTGACCACTCCCCACCCTAGGCCAGGGCTCCCTGGGAGCTGAGTGTGAGCACCAACTGAGAGAGAGTTTCTAGTTTCTCCTCCAGACTGCAAGCCAGATGGCTGTTACCTTTTTCCTGTCACATCTTCCTCAGTGGAAAAAGGAAAACCCCACAGAACTATGACTTAGGTCCCAGTGGTCACCTGGAGCACATCTCCTGAGAACATTCCCTAAGCACAGCTGTCTGGCAGCTGCTGCCAAGGACACACAGGGTGGGCCTGTGTGGGCGCAGGGACATGGTGCTGCCCTTGAGGGCCTGTGTACGGGGAGGAGTTGCAGTTCTCTCTCTTGTTTTTTCAAAGTAAAATCAGCCAGTTTCTACCAGTCACAAGAGGCTGCTCCCCCTGCTGCCATCCAGCCCTCCTGCGCATACATCCCTCCTTGGCAAAGCCATGAGTTCCTGAGCCAGTCCCTGGCAGAAGCTCAGACCCTCCTACACAGAGCATGGGGGCCTTGGCTTGTCACCCATTCTCCCACTGCCATGGCGGGGTCTGGGGTGCTCCCAGTGGGGCAGTGTGGCTGACCCCCTGATCAGGGAAGCTCCAGCTGAGCTCCCAGCCCCCTTCAGGGCTCTCAGAACTTTGTACCTTTTCTCCCACTTTTTTAACACCTTTTCTATACACTGATTTTCTTACAAGTTGCATTTGGAAACCAGACCTTTGCTACCAGCCTCTGGGTTTTGTACCGGTCCTCCCTCTCAGGCCAAACTGCCCAGGGCCCCTGGCCCACCTCCCCCAGGCACCTCTGCCTGGCACTCAGGATGTCTTGCTCTCTGACTGGCTCCCGCTCTGGATGCCTTTGCTGGCCTAGGGGCATATCCTTGAAATTATACTGTACCGGAAAACCAAGGGTCCCCATCTGTCCACCATCTTCCCCGTCTGCTGTGTGGCAGGTCCGCTGTTCTCAGTTTGCTAGTTGGAGAGTGGAATTTCAAACCCAGATGAACACATCCATCTCAGGAGGCATGGAGGGAAAAGACGTATGTAATGAAGGTTTTTTTTTTTTTTTATGTGACTGATTTTTTTTTTAATCAATGTTCAAACTAATAAATATTTTTTTATGAAGAGGAAAATAATGTGTAGATTACATTTCACATTTTGTATTTTTGTTGTTGTTGTTGTTTGTGTCTGTTTATACCTTGGTGTTTGCAACACCAAAGTGGAAGATACAGTCCATGGTGGTGGGGGTATGTGAATAGGGAAACCATGATTTTTGTATGGAGCTCTGGATCCTGGCCAGGTTGTTTGGACTCTGGGTCTGGGCAATAGGATGCTGCCAGGACTCTCCAGGGCCTGACTCGGGACACAGCTATGCTTCCAACTTTGCACATCTTCCTTTTTAAGAAAGAAATCTGAGAAAATGCAAAACTGGAACTTTTTGCAATATTATGAAAGATAATCTTCGGCTCATTTTGTGACATGTGCAGCTCTTTAAGAAGCCATACTTTCTAGTGGTTGTCTTTTGTTTAGATTCTGTTGTTTCGTACGCGGCCCTTTTAGAACCACTTGTAGTGAGGGTGCTGTGTGTGTGCTTCCCTTAAATATTTATTTTTTTCAACATGCTTTCAACCTGTCATCAAAAACAGAAGAGACAAAAAAAAAAAAAAGGCAGTGTTTGGAGACTGTTGATTTTTTTCTTGGGATGCTCTATTATACTGACTTTATATATTATTATAAACCTGTGTTTGTACTGGAGATGTGTTTAATATTTGGGGAGGTTTTTTAGTCCATTGGTGGAAAATCACAGCTGCTGCCGCCTAGGTCTTGGTGGCCAGAGGCCAGGCCAGCAGCCAGCATCACCTTCTCTTCTCTACAGAGGGTCTGGAGTTTCCTGCTTGCCTCCACAGGCTCCAGGCCTACCTGTGGGGTTCCTTTCTGTGACGGGATTAGCATAGACATTCTTGCAAAGCGATTACTTTCAATAAATTGGGAAATTGCTGCTCCCAGCAGATGCCTCCTGTGTTTCAGATAGCCCCCTCCTCGGCCTCATCTTGGATACAGGGGGCTGGATTGGAGACCCCCAGCCCTGTGGCCTCCCCCGATCCCTGCCCACAAGGTCCTGGATCCATTCCTTCCCTCCAGGAGGCAGACTCAGCTTCTGGAAAAAACCCAATTTTTAATTTTTCTCCTCGCCTGGTGGCCCAGACGTGAGACACCTGAGCTTCAGAAACATGGAAAAAGTCAGCCCTGGCCCCTAAACCACTGCATTAGGTGCGAGTATGGAAGTCCCCTTCTCAACACCCCTCAAAGTGCCTCTAGGATGGAACCCTACAGCTGGCCTGCCAACATCTTTGGCCAGTCCTGGGCCAACAGGCAGGGGGGCAACAGTCCTGGGGCCAAGGGGACAGTGATGTTATTTGGCTTTAGTGCAAAAACGCTGGCTTCTTCAGAGGCACTTTGAATAGCAGGACCCCTTTCCCCACTGCTGGGGCCCAGGGTCACCATCTCCCCTACTGTCTCCTGCCTTAGGAAGTAGCCCCACAGCTAGAAGAGGCAAGGCCTGGTGATTGCCCAGGACAGGAGGCAGGACAGCAGGGCCAATGGGCTCAGTCCAGGAACCGCTGACAAGCCTTCTTCCAGCGGCAGGCTGTGCACCACAGGTCCCGGTGATCCGTGCCGTACACCTTCCGGCACTTCTTGGCATCACCTCGGGGCTTCCTGGGGAGACAGGTGGGAGATGAGTGCTGTCAGCTGGGACTCTCCCCACCTGGCACCTGACTGGGCCCGCAACCCACACGCACCTCAAGCTGACACCAAGCTTGGAGGGCAGGGCTGGTGCAGTGGCCCGGCCCTCAGTGGGCTGTGGGTCCACATGGACGGGTGCCAGGCAGCCCTGGGGGGAACTGCAACTTGGACTTCGCTCCTCTCCAGAATGCCCTGAGACTTGTTCCCAGCTGCCATCTGTTGCCTCCCCAGCATGGTGGGCATGGTCACCGTGGCATGTCTTGGGAGGAGCTGCAGAGCTAAGCAAAGGGGGCAGGGGCAGGGCCAGAGGCCGCAGCAGGCTAGGCAGGTCCAGGTCGGGGAAGGCAGGGGGCACAGGGGCCTCAGGGGACGTTGGGGCCAGGTTAGACAGCCCATTGGTCAGCATGTCCACACCAATGTCCAGCTCAGTGTAGTAGAAGTCCTCCTCACCATCACTGTGCTCAGGCTCTGCCCGTCTCCTGCTGGGGACACAGCAAGAGAGCTGAAGCGCTGGCCTGGCCTGGCCCCACCACCCGGCCCCCGGCCCTGCCGCACCCCAGGTGCACCAGGCGGATGTGTCTCTGAATGGCGGAGGCTGTGCGCAGCACCTTCCCGCAGCTCTTCCACAGGCACTGGAACACCACCTGGACCGCGCTCTGGGCAACAGGGTGTGTGTCAGGAGCAGCACTCGAGTCCACCCGCCCTGGGCTCCCCCAGCTCACCTTCCGTTTCCTCTGAGTGGGCTCCCCAAACAGAAAGTGGGCTGCCTCAGGGGGCAGTGGGGGAGATGGTGTGGACGGGGAGGACTGGTCGCTGGCCTGGTCCCAGACCCAGTCTCCACTGTTGCTGCTGCTGCTGTAGCTGCCAGTGGGCTGAGTCAGGGCCTCCCTCCAGGGTTCCAAGTCAGGCTCTGCAGGAACATGCACCTCAGGACCTCTGGTGGGCTTGAGCTGCTCTGTGGGGAGCTGCTGCCTGCTGTCTGCCTAATGATCTGCAGTCCCTAACTCAGCTGCCACCTATTCAGGTGAGCTTGGTGGGCAGAGTCTTGGAGAAGATGTTGGTCACAGGGGCATGGGGAGACATCCCCCAGCATAGCAGAGAAAAGGGGGTGCCTGGCATGGTCAACAAAGTGGAGGTGGACAATCCGCAAAGGCCTGGCTTCAGTGAGAGGCACTGAAGATCCATATAACCACTTCAGAAAGAGAGCTGAAGTGTGGGTGGCAGGTCTGAAGACTCTGCTCGATCCCAGAAACTGGGTGGCTGTAGGGTCCTTGAGGACTCTGTCCCAGGCCCTGCCCCCACCTGAGCACAGACTTCTGAGACACACCTGGACTGAAGGATACAGCAGGGGCCCCCAGATAGAGGGGGCTAGTAGACAGGCTTGTAAGGGCTGCCGCGGCCAGGACCTCATCTAGCCGAGCTTTTCCTGGGGGGGATCTGAAGGAGACAGGGGCAAGATATGGGTGGGTGGGGCCCAACAAGTACTCTAGGCCCTTCCCCTGACCCAGCTACACTTTCAAGGCCTGGGCACGTGTTCCAGCACCAGGCTGCCTCACTCCTGGCAGAGAAGGAGGTCTGGCTCCACCCCCAGCTCAGGTTGCAGAGCCCCAAATCACCAGGAACCACCGGGAACAGGGCTGGGGTCTCTCTGAGGCTGGTGTTCTCTACAGCCTGGGCTTTGTCCCCTGCACCTTCAGGATATACTGGGCACCATGTCTCACTGGTGGGCTAGGACTGACCCCGACCCAGCCCCCATCACATATTAACCAGCATTGTGCGTTGTGCAACAGCAGCTGTGGGCCCCGGGCCAGGCTTAGGAGGTGGGAGCAGCCAGCAGTCGGCAGCAGCCAGGAGGGAGAATGGGCTTCAAGCACAGGCCGGTCCTGGGCCTCAGCGGGATAGGACAGGGCCCGCCCTTGCTGCGCAGCCAGCCAGAAGTGTCTGGGCTCAGGAGTGGGGGAGTGGCAATAGGAGCCCCAGGGATTCCTGGACAGTAAGCCCCAAGCAAACTGCACAGCCTCTTCTGCACAGAAACTGACAGCCGCCCCTCCCAGTTCTGCGATGGGACCCCCAATGTAATTGGTCATTTATGTCCAACTCCTCCAGGGTTGGAGAGCTGGGGGAAGAGAACACAGAAACCCAGTTCCAGACCCTGACCTATTCTCTGGCGAGGCCTCCCTCGGGAGGGTCGGGAAGGCAGAAATCCGTGCCCCACCCACTGCCTATGCACACACCGACGCACGTGTGCACACACCCACCTAGGGCACGAACCCCCCCACCCCAGGGGCTCACCTCTGCGCTGGCACCGGGATGTGCACCGACGGTGTCGGGAGCCCAGCCGCCCCCGCCCACGTCCCCGGGGTCCCTAGGTCTGCAGCCTGCGGCTCCTGCGGCAGCGCGAACTCCAAGGCCGCAAAACCTCCGCCCATAGAAGGTCCCTGCAGACGGAAGAAACTCATAGAAGAGGCAGCCCAGGCCCACCAGCCTGCACTGTGGATCCACTTGGCCCCCGCCCCACCGGCTGCGGCCGATGTGGATAGCATAGCTCCGCCTCCGGTCCCGCCTCGGCGCGGGCGACCGGGAGCGTCTCCCGGCCGCACGGCCGGACCTACGGACATGCAGGGGCCGACGCGGTCACCCCTAGCTGCCACGCCCTCGGGGCCCAAAGTTTGCGCAGCCCCGACGCCATCTTTGCAGCCAGAGAAACTTTGTTGGCGCCCCCGCCCACTGGTACCTGTGGCGGCGCCGGTACCGTCACGCGCGCGGCGCGCGGGCCCGAGCCCTGTGCACTCAGCCACGGCGCCTCGGCCCGTAGCGC